AACCCACAAGCCCTCTGGCAAGGTAAAAAAAAAACTTTGGCATCAGACCTAAGTTGGTCGAATTTTTTTTTTTTTTTTTTTGTGCATGCACACTCCAGAGAGAGACAAAAAGTACCCCTCAATGGGGCCTGGTCATGCTGCAATGTTTTCCCCCCATTTCTCCATCCCACCAGAACTTTGGACACACACACTGTTCCCAGCATGTTTTTCAAGCTTCCAGGGCTGAGATTTGAACTGTAGTCAGCCAGGTGGGATCCAGCTCCCTTAACTACTGTGCTACATGGCCAGCCCTCAGTTTTACTCTTAAATTCTTGATTTTCTCTGATGCAATGAACTGGTCTGGTACAATTAATTCCTGAGATAATCTTTTTTTAAAAGAATTGTTTTATTTATTATTATTATTATTATTATTGGAGAGGTTTTGGCTATAGGGTATGTGTGCTTGTCAGAAAGACAGAGAGAGACAGAGAGAAAGAAAGTGAGAAATTATGGTCACACCGCAATCCCTTCTCCTCCATTCTCCTCTTGGGATCTTGCGCACGCACGCACACGCGCCTGGTGTGAGTTTTAAGCCACCAGGTCCAGGTCGCGAACTGCGGTCAACTATGTGGGAGTCCAGCAACATAGCCATTACGCTAACTGCTGGTCCAATTATTATTCTTTTTTAAAAGAGATTTTTGCTATAGGGAGCAATTTTTGCTCGCTGGAGAGACAGAAAGCGAGAAATCATCGCTTAGTGGGGATGACCATGCCGCAATCTCTTCTCCCTTCTCCATTCTGCTCTCGAGATTTTGGGCATGCACACACATACGCCCTGTGTGAGTTTTAAGCTGCCGGGTCTGGGACTCAAACAGCGGTCGACTATGTGGGCATTCAGCGACGTAACCATTGTACCATCTTCTGGTCCCTCTAATTCTATTTTCTGATCTGATTTGCAGATTTGGAAAAATAGGGCACTATTTTAGCAACTCACTTTGTATTTGGTGTTAATTGACATAATCGTGTCTTGGTCCACAGGTCCTTCAACTGGAGATGCCACCCTGAGGTAAGAGGGGTCCCTAGCACAACGCCCATTTAATCCAGTCACTGAGCGAAAGTGTATTTAAGAGCTCTAGGGCGACTGTAGACACCAGAGATAGTGTGAGAAGAGGGTGGGAAAGGACAGAGGGTCAGACATAGGGGAAAAAAAAAAAAATATATATATATATATGAAACTAGAAATGGAACTTTTTTATGATAATATGCATAATTAAGCCTCTGTACAGTATATTCTGGATGGGAAATCACATTTTGTATGCTGTGACGATGCTTAGGGAATGAATGTAAGTTAATTAAGTTAAAAAAAAAAGGTTCAGGAAAAAAACTCTAAAACTGTTTTCCTTGAAATAAAAAACATGCATTAAAAATACCTATTTGATGACTGTAGTAAGCTATATAGCCCCAGCTAGGTGCTACTTTATAGTATATTCATTCTACTCTAATTAAGATCTTTAGTGAATCAATAAAATGGGGGGAAAAGGCATAGAAAGCAACCATGGATACCAGAGACAGTGGGAAGAAGGTGGGAGATGGCAGAGGGTGAGAGGTAGGGAATCAAGGATGGAAAAAAAAGGCAAAATACACAGGAAACAGGAAATGGAAACTTATTTGTTGACGATAACACATATATTGATGTGCTTGACTGAGCCAATATACAGTGTATTCTGGATGGGAAATCTCATTTTGTACGCTGTAATGATGTACAGTGAATGAATGTAAGTAAATAAATTTAAATTTTAAAAAATTAAAAAAAAATAAAGAGCTCTAGGACTGCAACTCCTTTGTTGTTCCTGTCCTCTTCCCCATGTTCCCGTTCTTTCTCCTTTCTAATTTAATTTCTTATTCTATGATTATGGTTTCCCATGTCTTTCTCTTTTTTTAAGAATTATTTTATTTCACTTTATTTATTTATTTATTTATTTTAATTTGAACAGAGAGGGACAGAGTGAGAAAGAGAGAGAGAGAGAGAAAGAGAGAGAGAGAGAGGAAAGTGAGAAAGCAAGTCATCAGGTCTGGGACTCGAACCATGACTGGCCTTGTGGGAGTCCTGTACCCTTAACCATCATGCCACCTGCTGGCCCCAGTGTACAGAATTTTAATGTGAAGAATCTTGTGGCTTATTTTCTTCTCAGACTTGACAACAGAATCTTGTTGGCAATTTGAGCCTGAGAAAATCTGGCTAATGTCCTTTGAGGAACGGTGAAGATAAAGATCAGGACACGTCACCTCATGTCACGTATCGTTTAAGGACAGTTAAACCGAAGTGGTCGTGCAAGCCTATTACGTAGGCTTTTGCTCCTTTGCTACAAATCTGTACAGCACGGATAAAATACAATTCCAGACACCGTAGGCAGTTGTTACACTAAGAATTTGTATATCTAAAGACAGAAAAAGTACAGTAACAATTCCATATAAAAGATGAAAAATAGAGCCAGCAGGTAGCATAGTATTTAAGGTGCTGGACTCTTGCATAGCTGACCATGGTTCAAGTCCTGGACCCGACAGCTTGAAACTCATGCTGAAGTATGTGTGCATGCATGCCTCAAATCCAACAGGAGAACGGAGAAGAGATCGCAGCATGGCCATTTCCTCTAGGGGGGTGATTTCTCACTTATTCTCTCTCTCTCACTACTGTCTCTCTCTCTCTGGCAAGCATACGTGCCCCATAGCAAGAAAAAGAAAAAAATATAATAATTATAAATAATAAATAAAATATAAATATAAATAACACATAAATATAAATAATTACACATATATATCTAGATACAAATATATATATATATATTTTTTTTTTTCCTTTTTTTAAGAGAGATTGTTGTGGGACCATCAGATGGCATAACGGTTACATTGCTGCTCCCATATGGCCGACCGCAGTTTGAGTCCTGGACCCAGAGGCTTGAAACTTACGCTGGGCACATGTGTGTGCATGCCCAAAATCCTGAGAGGAGAGTGGAAGAGAAGGGATTACATTATGACCTTTTTCTCCCGAGGTGGGGGGGCAGGAGTGATTTCTCGCTTTCTGTCTCTTTGAATCTCTGGCAAGTGCACATACCCTATAACAAAAATCTCTCCAAAAAAAAAAAAAAAAGAAAGAAAGAAAAATGTGGGAGTTGGGCCGGCAGGTGACATGGTGGTTAAGGGCCACGCGGGATTCCAGCACCTTAACCACCGTGCTACCTGCCAGCCCCTTCTTATTTTTTAAAGAGGTTTTTGCCTTAGAGTATGTATGCTCGCTGGAGAGAGACAAAGACAGAAACAGTGAGAGGGAGTGTGAGAAATCCCCTCCTGGGGGGATGGCCATGCTACAATCCATTCTGCTTCATTCTCCTTTTGGGATCTTGGGATACGCACACATATGCCTAGTGTGATTTTCAAGACACTGGGTCCGGGACTCGAACCATGGTCAGCCATGTGGAGGTCCGATTATGTAACCATTACACCATCTGCTGGCCCCAGATTTCTATAAATTATTTACTTTATAAACTTTAAAACGTTTTAAACTTGTTGACTCTTTTGTAGTAACAAAAAAGAATTCTGGCTTTGAGGCCAGCAGATGCCATTGTGGTTATGTTGCTGGATTCCCACGTGGGAATCCACGGTTCAAGTCCCAGGCTCAGTAGCTTCAAAATCATGCTGTGCACATGTACGTGCATGCCCGAGATCCCGGGAGAAGAATGGAAGAATAGGGATTGTGGTGTGGCCATCTCCCCTGGAGGGTGTTTCTCACTTTCTCTTTCAGTTTCTGTTAACCACCACAACACATGCTGGCCCCTATATGCGCTACACATATTTTTTATTTTACTAATTTTTTTAGATGGATTTTTGCTATAGGGCATGTGCACTCACCAGAGACACACAGAGAGAGAGCAAGTGAGAAACCACTCTCCAGGGGGATGACCACACCACAATCCTTTCTCCTTCTTTCTCCACTTGGGACTTTGAGCACGCACAGGAGTGGGCTGAGTTTCAAGCCACTGAGTCTGGCACTCAAACCCCGCTCAGCCACGTGGGAGTTCAGCGCCTTAAGCACTACACCACCTGCTGGCACCTATGTGCTATACTTTTATACAACTTTGAGTGCAATAGATTTGTTGACATCAGCATCACCACAAATGTATGTAATATGTCACACGACACATTATAATGGTTATAATGACACTAGGCAATAGGGATTTGTCAGCTCTGTTACATTGTTTTTTTGAGAGTTTTTTTGCTATAAGGCGTGTGCGCTCGCCAGACAGAGAGATAGAAAGTGAGAAATCACCCCCTGGGGGGATGGCCACGCCGCAATCCCTTCTCCGTTCTCCTCCCGGGATCTTGGGCAAGCACACACACGCACCCGGCATGAGTTTTAAGCCACCCGGTCCGGGACACGAACCGCGGTCGATTACATGGGAGTCCAGCAACATAGCCATTATGCTAACTGCTGGTCCCCCAATTTTTTTTTTTTTTTGAGAGGTTTTTGCTTGCTATAGGGTGTGTGTGCTCACCAGACAGACAGAGACAGAAAGCGAGAAATCACCCCCCAGGGGGGATGGCCACGCCGCAATCCCTTCTCCTTCATTCTCCTCTCAGGATCTTGGGCATGCATGCACACGCGCCCGGCGTGAGTTTTAAGCCACCCAGTCTGGGATGTGAACCGCGGTCGACTACATGGGAGTCCAGTGACATAGCCATTATGCTAACTGCTGGTACCTCTGTTAAAATCTTTTTTAAAAAAGAATTACTTATTTAATTTAATTTATTCATTCATTTAATTTGACCAGTGAGAGACACAGAGAGAGGGAAAGTGAGAAAGCGAGTCACCAGGTCCAGGACTCGAACTATGGTCAGCCAATGGGAGTGCCCAGCTCCTTAACTACCACACCACCTGCTGGTCCTCGAGCTCTGTTAAAATCTTGTGGGCCGGGAACCAGCAGTTAGCGTAATGGCTATGTCGCTGGACTCCCACGTAGTCGACCGCGGTTCGCGTCTTGGACCCAGTGGCTTAAATCTCACGCTGGGCGCGTGTGCGTGCGTGCCCAAGATCCCGAGAGGAGAATGGAGGAGAAGGGATTGCGGCGTGACCATCCCCCCTGGGGGGTGATTTCTCGCTTTCTGTCTCTATGTCTCTCTCTGTCTTTCTGGCGAGCGCACGCGCCCTATAGCGAAAACCTCTCCAAAAAAAAAAAAACAAAAAAAAACCTCTTATGGGTCCACTGCTGTATATGTGGTCCAAGGCTGACAGAAGTCATTGAGTGTGTAATAAAAATGTTTAAAAAAACTTTTGGACCACTCCCATTGCCTAGTGGTTAAGGGAGCCGGATCTCCCATGGCCATCCATGGTCTAGTCGTGGCCCCAGAGGCCCCAGATCCAGACAGGATGGCAAGAAGATGAGAAAGAACTGTGACGTGACCACGCTCTTTGGCGATCCTTTCTCCCGCGCTCTCCTCTTTCTGTCTTTCTGGCATGTGCACTCGCCCTGTGGCAATAATTACACACACACACACACACACACACACACACAACTTTTAATTTTTTCCTTTGCTCATGATAGCATGGGTATACATGCACGTGATGGCCACGTGTGCATGCGCTTAGAAGAGCGTGTGAGGGGGAAGAAGGGGGAAGAGGGATGCACCTCCACGGGGCCTGGCCAGGCCGGGACTCCCTTCCCTCAGTCCTCTTGCCCTTCGCACCTTGGGCTCTCCTGCCTGCGCCCAGCATGTTTCTGGGGTGGGGATTCAAACCCCGGTCACTGTTGGGGCAGGTGCTCTTGAGTAGTTCATTACCAACTGTGCCATGGAGCTGCAGGACACAAGGTCGTCCTTAGACCCGAATTCAAAACGAAAAGCAGTTGTACTCGAGAGTGTTCACCCAGTAAATTGGGGGGAGAAGACCTCCTTCCTACCTTAGAGAAACCGATGGTGGAAATGGCCCTCCCCAGGCTACGCTGAGGCATAAAAGAGAAAAACAGAGTTTCCTGAGATGTCATTTTTCAGGTCTGCCTAATTGAAGAGGGGAACAGGAAATGACCCCTACGATCCTTCTGAAGAGTGTGCTTTTTATATTTCAGGAGAAGAATTGAACCTTGGGAGTTTGAAAGCTTCTTTGACCCCAGAGTACTGCGTCGAGAGACCTGTCTGCTCTATGAAATCCAGTGGGGCAGAAGCCAGAAGCTCTGGAGAAGCTCTGGCAGAAACACCACCAATCATGTCGAAGTTAACTTCATAGGGAAACTCACTTCAGAAAGGCACTTCCAGCCCGCCATCGGCTGCTCCGTCACCTGGTTCTTGTCCTGGAGCCCCTGCTGGGAGTGCTGCAAGGCTATAGGAGAGTTCCTGAGCCAACACCCGAACGTGAAACTGGTTATTTATGTCGCACGGCTTTTTCATCACACGGATGAACGAAACCGGCAAGGACTCAGGGACCTCATTAACAGTGGTGTGACCATCCAGATCATGACAGCCGTAGGTAAGGCCATCAACAAGGAATCTTCTTTGTTTGCCAGGGCCTGAGGTGACTTCCTGCTTTTAGGCTAGGAGATTGGTTCTCCCAGACTGGAAGTCTAGGAAGAAAAAGTCGACGTAAAATTTGATAGGACCAGATCTAAGCGTCACTGTAAGGAGGGTACCAAAAATGCCACTCCCTGGGCCAGCAGGTGGCGTGGAGACTAAGGTGGCTGGATCCTCCATGGCTGATTAAGCAGTTCAAATCCCACACTCACAGCTTGAAAATCAGGCCGGTCGCCTGTGAGTGCATATCTCAAATCCTGAGAAGGGAAGGAACTGCAACATGGCCATCCCTGCAAGGGGTGATTTCTCACTGTCCCTCTCTCTCTAGCGCTGCCTGGTGAGCACGTGTGTCCATAGCGAAACCTGAAAAAAAGAAAAGACTACTTCTTTCTCTATTTGTGCCGCTGTGGACTCCCAGCCGTCTTTAAAGGAACTGAGTGTTTGTTTAGTTTAGCTTAGTTTGTATTGTTGTTGTTGTTTGTTTTTCTACAGGAATTTGTGCTCTCCAGAGAGAGATAAAGTGAGAAATTACCCCCTGGGGAGAATGGCCACCTTCTCCTCTCAGGATTTTGGGCACACGCACACCTGCCCAATGTGATTTTTCTTTCTTCCTTTTTTTAAAAAAATCTTTCTCTCTTCTTTTTTTCTTTCTTTTTCTTTTGTGAGAGATTTTTGCCATAGGGTGTGTGCACTTGTCCGAGACAGAGAGAGGAAGTAAGAAATCGCCCTGCAGGGGAGATGGCCACACTGCAATCTCTTCTCTTCCATTCTGTTCTCGGGACTTTGAACATGCCTGCACACATGCCTGGCAGGTTTCAAGCTTCCAGGTCCGGGACTCAAACCATGGTCAGCCTTGTGGGAGTCCAACAACATAACTGATACACCACCTGCTGCTCCCCCTCAATATGATGTTCAAGCTGTTTTTGGGACTTGAACTGTGCAGTAGGCCATGAGGGATCCAGTGCCTAACTTCCACGCCACCTGCTGGCCCTTCGTGTGACTTTTTTTAAAGTCTATATTATTTATTTATTTGTTTGTTTATTTATTTTGAGAGAGAGCTAGTCCCTTAGAAGGGGCTCACCAGGAGAGCTCACTGATCACCCTGCCCAGCCTGTTGGACAGCTGGGCCATCCTGTATGACCAGCATGTTCATGTGGAGCTGGGATGGGAACCCGGGGCCTTCCCACAAGATTCCAGCTTTATACACCCAACCGCCTGTGTTGCCACAGCTGGACTGAAGAGCTTTGTTCTATTCTTTTCTTTTTTTTTTTTTTTTTTTAATAATTATTTTATTTAACTCTATTTATTTATTTATTTTCAACTGGCCAGAAAGGGATAGAGTGAGAGAGAGAGAGATGGAAAGTGAGAAAGCAAGCCGCCAGGTTCAGGACTTGAACCAGGTTGGCCATGTGGGAGTTCAGCACCCCTAACTACCATACTACCTGCTGGCCCCACTTTCCTTTTTTTAAAGAATAATTTTATTTAACTTTATTTATTATTATGATTATTTTCCAGTCTGATCAGAGAGAGACAGGGAGGGAGAAAGAGGGAAAGTGAGAAAGCAAGCCACTAGGTCTGGGACCCGAACCACAGTCAGCCATGTGGGAGTCCAGCACCTTTAACCACCATGCCACCTGTTGGACCCCTTGTTTTTTTTTTTAAAGAATTATTTTATTTAACTTTATTTATTTACCTTTGCTCTTTTTAGGAACCTAGCTCAGCTCCAGCAGCACATAGATCAGAGGCTTTCTGTATGGGGTACTTGATGTTGGGGCTCCCTATGAGTAATTTTTTGACAAAACTTGAGTGAACAAGGATTTGTGCTTCCTCAGAATATTGTCACTGCTGGAAGAATTTTGTCAACTACCCACCTGGGGAAGAAGCTCACTGGCCAAGATTCGCACCTCAGTGGATGAGTCTGTATGCACTGGAACTCCACTGCATAATTCTAGTAAGTCACTGGAAGGGACAGAGACTACGATGCAACAAGAAGTATTCTTCCATCTTCTTTCCTGAGGCTTTCAATACATACTCTCACCTTTTCTTTGTCATTTAAAGAAATTATTTATTTAATTCCATTTATTATTATTATTATTTTAGTTTTTTTTTTTTAGAATTATTTATTTTCAGAGTTGGCGGTTGGCATGGTGGTTAAAGGTGCTGGACTCCCACATGGCCGACCATAGTTCAAGTCCCAGACCTGGTAGCTTGGTTTCTCACTTTCTTTTTCACTCTGTCCCTCTCTGGCCAAAATAAAATAAATAAATAAATAAATAAATAAATAAATTTTTTTAAAAAAGAATTATTTATTTTCATTTCCTTTATTAAGATTATTATTTTTTAAGTTTGATATAGGGCACATGTGCTCACCAGAGAGCGAGAAAGTGAGAAAGTAAACCACTAGGTCTGGGGCTCAAACCATGGTCGGTCATGTGGGAGGGAGTCCAGAGCTGGCTCCATTACCTTTTAAATTTCACCCAAGAGAGACAGAGAGAAAGGGAGAGTGAGAATGCAGTCCGCCAGATCCAGGACTCAAACCACAATCAGCCATGTAGGAATCCAGCGCCCTTAGTTACCATGCCACCTGCTGACCCCTTCTTTGCCATTTTAAATTAATTTTACTGAGAATTAGTTATTTGACTCACTGGCCCATCTTTTCTTTCTTTCTTTCTTTCTTTCTTTGCTATAAGCACCGTATGCTCTCCAGAGAGACATTAGAGATAGAAAGTGAGAAATCACCCCATGGGTGATCTTGGGTATGCACACACTTGTGCCCAGTAAGTTTCATGCTACCCGGTCTGGGACTCGAAATGTAGTTGGTAATGTGGGAGTCTAGTGACGTAACCACCACATGCCATCTGCTGTTACTTCTTTAATTCATTTTTAATTTAAAAATGTTATCTATTTATTTGTTGTGATTTTTCCCTGGTTCCAGGACTCAAACCATGGTTGGCCATGTGGGAATCCCACACCTTAACCAGCATGCCATCTGTTGGCCAGATTTTTTTTTTTTTTTAGAGAATTACTGTAACCAGCAGTTGGCATAATGGCTATGTTGCTAGACTCCCATGTATTTGACCGCGGTTTGAGTCCCGGACCCAGTGGTTTAAACTCATGCCGGGCACATGTGTGTGTGGGCCCAACATCCCAAGAGGAAAATGGTGGAGAAGGGATTGTGGCATGGCCATCCTCCCTGGGGGGT